ACTGTCCATAAAGTCGCCGTGTGTAAAGTCGCAGTGTGTAAAGTCGCTGTGTGTAAAGTCGCTGTGTGTAAAGTCGCTGTGTGTAAAGTCGCTGTGTTTAAAGTCGCTGTGTGTAAAGTCGCTGTGTGTGAAGACGCTGTGTGTAAAGTCGCTATGTGCGAAGACGCTGTGTGTAAAGTCGCTGTGTGTATAGACGCTGTGTGTTAAGTCGCTGTGTGTAAAGTCGCTGTGTGTAAAGTCGCTGTGTGTAAAGTCGCTGTGTGTAAAGTCGTTGTGTCTAAAGTTGCTGTGTGAAAAGTCGCTGTGTGTAAAGTCGCTGTGTGTAAAGTCGCTGTGTGTAAAGACGCTGTGTGTAAAGTCGCTGTGTGTAAAGTCACTGTGTGTAAAGTCGCTGTGTGTGAAGTCGCTGTGTGTAAAGACGCTGTGTGTAAAGTCGCTGTGTGTAAAGACGCTGTGTGTAAAGACGCTGTGTGTAAAGACGCTGTGTGTAAAGTCGCTGTGTGTAAAGTCGCTGCGTGTAAAGTCGCTGTGTGTAAAGTCGCTGTGTGTAAAGTCGCTGTGTGTGAAGACGCTGTGTGTAAAGTTGCTGTGTGTAAAGTCGCTGTGTGTAAAGTCGCTGTGTGTAAAGTCGCCGTGTGTAAAGTCGCTGTGTGTAAAGTCGCTGTGTGTAAAGTCGCTGTGTGTAAAGTCGCTGTGTGTAAAGTCGCTGTGTGTAAAGTCGCTGTGTGTAAAGACGCTGTGTGTTAAGTCGCTGTGTGTAAAGTCGCTATGTGCGAAGACGCTGTGTGTTAAGTCGCTGTGTGTAAAGTCGCTGTGTGTAAAGTCGCTGTGTGTAAAGTCGCTGTGTGTAAAGACGCTGTGTGTAAAGACGCTGTGTGTAAAGTCGCTGTGTGTTAAGTCGCTGTGTGTAAAGACGCTGTGTGTAAAGACGCTGTGTGTAAAGTCGCTGTGTGTAAAGTCGCTGTGTGTAAAGTCGCTGTGTGTAAAGTCACTGTGTGTAAAGTCGCTGTGTGTGAAGTCGCTGTGTGTAAAGACGCTGTGTGTAAAGTCGCTGTGTGTAAAGACGCTGTGTGTAAAGACGCTGTGTGTAAAGTCGCTGTGTGTAAAGACGCTGTGTGTAAAGTCGCTGTGTGTAAAGTCGCTGTGTGTAAAGTCGCTGTGTGTAAAGTCGCTGTGTGTTAAGTCGCTGTGTGTAAAGTCGCTGTGTGTAAAGTCGCTGTGTGTAAAGTCGCTGTGTGTAAAGTCGCTGTGTGTAAAGTCGCCTTGTGTAAAGTCGCTGTGTGTAAAGTCGCTGTGTGTAAAGACGCTGTGTGTAAAGTCGCTGTGTGTAAAGTCGCTGTGTGTAAAGTCGCTGTGTGTAAAGACGCTGTGTGTAAAGTCGCTGTGTGCGAAGTCGCTGTGTGTAAAGACGCTGTGTGTAAAGTCGCTGTGTGTAAATTCGCTGTGTGTAAAGTCGCTGTGTGTAAAGACACTGTGTGTGAAGTCGCTGTGTGTAAAGACGCTGTGTGTAAAGTCGCTGTGTGTAAAGTCACTGTGTGTAAAGTCGCTGTGTGTAAAGTCGCTGTGTGTAAAGTCGCTGTGTGTGAAGTCGCAGTGTGTAAAGTCGCTGTGTGTAAAGACGCTGTGTGTAAAGTCGCTGTGTGTAAAGTCGCTGTGTGTAAAGTCGCTGTGTGTAAAGACGCTGTGTGTAAAGACGCTGTGTGTAAAGTCGCTGTGTGTAAAGTCGCTGTGTGTAAAGACGCTGTGTGTAAAGTCGCTGTGTGTAAAGTCGCTGTGTGTAAAGTCGCTGTGTGTAAAGTCGCCGAGACGGAGAGAGACAAAGGTGGCGAGCGAGCCGTGGTGACCAGGATTCTGTGGAGTGTGGAGGACGTGTTGAATGATGTAAAATAAAGCGGTGTTTGAAGAAAGACAGAAGTTGACCGCGTAAAGTCAAACACTACATATGCGTTGTCCTTGAAACTGATTGGTCCACACCAAGGGACGGCTTTCTTTTGAGCCTCGACCCAATTGGTGCTCGACCAGATGGCGTCATCTATTATGACATTTTGGTACTGGCAAAGGAAGGTCTAATGACCTTATCACATAGGAATAGGTTTTACCCTTTTAACTGGCACAAAAACTGACACCTTTATTCAAGGCATCATGTTTGCAATGACCACAACACAAGCAGTCAAAATGCAAACAAAAAAGACAACTCTGATTTTGACTGATTGTGTTGTGGTCATTGCAAACATGATGCCTTGAATAAAGGTGTCAGTTTTTGTGCCAGTTAAAAGGGTAAAACCTATTCCTATATCTTGTTTCTGGCAAAGGAGGTCTCATAATGACCTTATCACACTTTACATGCAGCTCCTTGATCAATCCACTGCTGGAATGAAGACCTTCCCCGTGCCATGCCACTCATGCATCGGGTGTGAAAAACCACAGCGAGAAAATGTTCTACGTGACTTTACCGAAAGAACAAAGAATATGTTTTTGTGTATTGTTGATACGCACGCACACACACACAAAAACAAGCTTAAGGCAACAGTGCTAATTAAAAAAGGGGTTAAAAAAGAGGTGTGCATGTAAGGTTGGAAACCCCAGAGGGCTTTTCTGAAAACCACACCAAGAAAATAAAAATGTATATGCAACGCTGATGATTATGAAAGTTCAAATATTAATTAATATAGTTTAGAATTAAAACGTGAGGTAAATATTTTGTTAAGTCTCGGGAAATTAATTAAATACGTCAATCATGGCGTGAGACGTGTTTTTTTTTGCCTTTTAAACGGAGGGGGAGCAATAATTCGTGTTTTAAAACGGTGGAGAAAAAGACAACAATGTTTGACAAAAACAACAATTTCCCGCGGAAGAATAACTTTGGGGGCGAGTCACGTGACCGCTAAATCTAAACCCACGGGGGCCGGTGACGGTGGGGAGTCGAATGGGATTGTAAAAGGTTAAGCTCACGGATACTTCAACTAAATAACCAGTTAGTTTAGCTATCGACTAGTTGTGATTCTAGTCGATAGCCGCTGGTGCCAGTAGGTTCCAAATTCACGGTGCTTAGGGGGCTGTCCATAAATGACGTCACGCACCTCGGTGGGGAGTGGGGGGGTCAGACATTTGTGACGATGTGTGACGAGGGAGGGGGGGGGTGAGAAATGCGACGTCACATCAAAATGCGCAACTTTAAATAAATATAGACAACACGTTCTACTTAATTAAATAGACTTTGTAATAAATGTTTTCTCCTACAACATCAGAGTGCAGCGCCACATTAAATACTCACTACAAGGACAATAGTTTAAAGCGATTTGAAGCATGTTTTATATTTTTTTTTGGGGGGGGGGGGGGGCAGAGCTTTGTGACGTCATATTTGAGGGGGGGGTCTGACTTTTTGTGACGTCGTGTGACGAGAGGGGGGGGGTCAAAAATCGCGTGACGTCATTTATGGACAGCCCCTTAGAGCAATTTGACATTAAATAATAGATTCTGGATTTGCATCGTGACTGCGTAATCGCGGTTATTCAGGACAATCGCATAAATGAACGGTATGGAGCGGAGTAACACATTTTTATCTTATTTATATTACTGGCCTGCATATATATCGTTCACGAGGGAAAACTATTCTTCGCGATTCGATTGTACATAAATCGTATTGCACAAACCGATTAAATAATCGATGTTGCCACTTTGTTGAGCTATCATTTGTGTACCAGGTCGCTTCTGAAAAATAAGTTAATACCTCAGTGGACTTGGGAAGATAAAGACGTAGTTTAGTTGTATCCGTAAATATATTTTAAGTGATTTGTTTGCCTTTCCTTTCGTGTTTTTTATCGTTTGTTGTAACATTCCGACCCCGTGCCTCTACTGGACATCTGTGAGGGAAAAAAAGAGCTTTGTAGCTCATCGGATTCCTCTCCTGAAGTATAAATATTCAGATTCAATTTGCACGAATTGAAAAAATAATCGATTCTTATTGTGAGAATCGATAACGAGACACGCGAGCACGGAGAATCGATTCGGCCTACGCACGTCTCATGGAAAATGTTGAGAGAGGAAGTGGGGGGGAGGGAGGATGGTGGGGGGGGTGAAAGGGGAGGGGCTGGGGGGGGTGAAAGGGGTGGGGTTGGGGGTGAAAGGGGAGGGGCTGGGGGTGAAAGGGGAGGGGCTGGGGGGTGAAAGGGGTGGGGTTGGGGGGGTGAAAGGGGTGGGGTTCGGGAGGTGAAAGGGGAGGGGTTGGGGGGTGCAGAGGGGAGGGGCTGGGGGGGTGCAGAGGGGAGGGGCTGGGGGGGGTGCAGAGGGGAGGGGCTGGGGGGGTGAAAGGGGTGGGGTTGGGGGGGTGAAAGGGGAGGGGCTGGGGGGGGTGAAAGGGGTGGGGTTGGGGGGTGAAAGGGGAGGGGTTGGGGGGGTGAAAGGGGTGGGGTTGGGGGGTGAAAGGGGTGGGGTTGGGGGTGAAAGGGGAGGGGTTGGGGGGGTGAAAGGGGTGGGGTTGGGGGGTGAAAGGGGTGGGGTTGGGGGTGAAAGGGGTGGGGTTGGGGGGTGAAAGGGGTGGGGTTGGGGGTGAAAGGGGTGGGGTTGGGGGGTGAAAGGGGTGGGGTTGGGGGGTGAAAGGGGTGGGGTTGGGGGTGAAAGGGGTGGGGTTGGGGGGTGAAAGGGGTGGGGTTGGGGGGTAAAGAGGGGAGGGGGTTGGGGTTGGTGAGAGGTGAGGGGTTGAAGAGAGTAGGGGGTGGGGCTAGAGGGGGGTTACGTCACGTGCCCTCACTGACCCCCCCCCCACTGTACCCTCTCGACCCTTACCCCTCCAAATTTCACTGCTGCCCACGTGACTGAATATTATTGATGACGAGGGGGGTGGGGCAGGAACTAGCCCCGCCTCCCTCTCCCATCACTCTCTTCCAACCCTCCCCTCTCCCTCCCCATCACCCCCCCCCTCTCCCATCACTCACCCCTCTCCCTCCCCATCACTCACCCCGCCACTCGACCTCCCCCGCCACTCTCTCACTCCACACAAACCCCCTTCCGCTCTTCCCTCTGCCTCTCTCTCTGCCGCTCTCCCCCCGCCACCCCCCGAGCTCTCTCTCACCCTCGAGTATTTTCTATCTCGTTGAGTAACGCGCGCGGCTCCATTCATTCACGCGGCCAAGCAGCCTGTGGGGAGGGAGTGTGCGGCAACACCACACACCCACACACACGCCGTACATATATAGATGCACCACACGGAGCGAGGCCAGGCCAGAGAGAGAGAGAGGAGAGGAAACAAACAGCGCGGCGGAACGAGTTGTGGATAGAGACGACACGGGGCTATCGAGACAGACAGACGTCTACAGCAGGGGTGGTGTTGTAGATAGACACGGACACTAATAGAGTGGCTGAAAGAGACGGTCACGCAACAGTCGCCACCCGCCACTTGAGTGGCCGTAGCGTCATCACGGCGCCTGTACCAGGCTAGGTGCGCTTTGGCAACAACGGAGAGACACACACACACGGACGAGGCACAACTCGCATGGGGATGGGCGCACAGGGCAAGCGCAGGTCTGGTGAGGGGCTCGTGACCAACGTGGAGCTGGGGACCGTGGTCCCGGTGACCAACGGGGTCCCGGGGTCCCCTCTGCCCGTCGCTCCCGCCGCCGCGAGGCCGACGTCGATGCCGGGGTCCCCTACGCGGGAGACGTGGAGCCGCAAAATCGAGTTCACTCTGGCGTGTGTGGGCTACGCCGTGGGTCTCGGGAACGTGTGGCGATTCCCGTACCTGTGCTACCGGAGTGGAGGAGGTGAGTGGCATCCCGTGAACCCCCTCTCTGGCTACCCCCTTGGCTGCTACCTCCTACCCACCCCCGACGCTTCTATCCATCCCTCCCCCTGTCTCTCTGTCTCCTACTCCCGTACACCAGCGGTGGTTATAGGGGTCCGTAACAGCACGCAAGGCCGCATTCGCCCGGCGATTTTCGTTCCTCGCGTAGATGATTTATTGCACATTTTTATCCAACAGAGGCGCACTTTAAAGACGTGTGGACTTGTTCAGGAGGAGGAGGCTTGCTGCTGCTGCCGATGCTATGTTGAGTGTTTTGGTTCAAGACGTTTTCATGGCCCCCAATTTGTGACGACGATGATGAGTTGTGTTTGATATTCCACGTGGGGAGGAGGAAACCCACGACCCTTGCGCGAGGGGGCAACGCTCTACCCCCCCCCCCCCCCCCCCGTGCAGATGGAAACAGGTGGCGATCAGTCCACGCTTTGCTGTACCCGTGTTGTCCTGGCGAGCCCTGGGGTATCATGGGGAACCTCGTTTCACAACATCCGTGCGTGGTCCATCAACCCTCGCTGCCTCCACGGTGCTGGGTTACATTGTAGGCAGCCCGGTTGGCTCGGTAGGTTTACGAGTTCGGATCATAGTTGGAGGTTGACTCAGCCCATCATCAACACCGCGGGTCGATAAAAAAGCACGTTACTTTGTGAAAAGAAACAAAAAGGTCAGCGGTAGTTCTCTTTATGTCGATGCTCGCCCCCGCCATAGGAATGTAGAATTACCCCCACATGCTCAGGGCTGTAAATGGGAGTCGAGCAATGCGCATTTTGAGCAGGGAAATGTTCCGATCTAGGTTCTTGTGTAATTATCGTTCGCTCCTCTTGCCGAGTAAAGTGACAGCTTCAGAAGCAGCAGCAACAGCGTGGAGGTAAGGGCCCTGAGAGTATTTTGTATTTTACCAGGCAAGGCCCTCTGAGCTGCTGTACAGCTCTTTTTCAGAAGCCAACAGCACACAAATGATAGCCCATCAAAGTGGGTTATCACGTGGAAATATTTATAGCAACACACTTAACACTAAGCGTACGTTGCTTCTGAATGTGGAGAAAAATCCACGCGATCACGGGGAGAACATGCGAACTCCGAATATACAGCAGGCGTCAGGGGCTGGGGTCAAACCCATGCGCTCCTGTACACCGGGCGAGGTATTTAACATCTCGTTACCGTGACACCTGAGTCCACTCGTCGATTCCACTCGTTGTCGACGAGGTGAGATGGACACGGTCTCTCGCGTTGGCCACGGGTGTAGAGGGAGGGGAGGTTGTACGTTGATGTACGTTGAACTTCTTTCACGCCGTACGTAGCCAACAGCGCTAATCGTAGGTGCGGGGGCGTGGGGGAAGGACAACAAACTAAAGACAACAAGCAGCTCTAAATAAATGAGTTTGTCGATCTAGATCATTTAAAAGTGCGTGGCTCTAGTGGCTTCCTCTTATCGGAAGGAAGAGCGTTCCAGACGGACGCAGAAGCGCATCTGAAAGCGTGCGATGCCGGTGACCGTCTTTGTTCGATGGCCAATCAAAAAAAACCCCGCCACTCGTGTGACCGGCTGGCGGAAGACGAACGACGGCGATGAGGAATGTTAATTCTGTGCAAAATCCAGGTCGTCGCAATGCCCGCTGCACGCGCCTGATGATTGCTCGACAGCCCCCCCCCCCCACGTGACGTGGTACCTCGCGGTGCGGACGCGTGTCCCACGTGCCCCACGTGCCCTTAAACTCAAGGCCGATATCAACTACTGCCACGTGTGTAACTGTTACTTGCAGCTGCGATTGTGTTTACATGCGTGCTTTGTGCGGCCGTGTATTCGTGCTATATTTAACAAAAAGTGTGCCTGCTGGATTCCTGCCAGGCTGGCTGGCTTGCCTGCGGCCAAGTTTGCGTGAGCGATGAGACGCCACTGCAGACGTCTGCGTGATGTCGAGACATGCAGTTAAACCATCACATATTCATTGGCAGTTTAGCATGAGAAATAACAAGTTTTGCTGGCTGGCTGGAGGGACGGACGGACGTACGGTGACGACAAAGGCACGTGTGGGGATGATCGTTTAAGCACTATAATAGCATTAGGTAACAAAAACAAATCGCCTAGTATATCTATATTTTTTACTTTGGGGCCGTCCATAAATGACGTCACGCACCTGGGGGGGGGGGTCAGACATTTGTGACGATGTGTGACGAGGGTGGGGGGGTGTTTGAGAATGCGCAACTTTAAATAAATATAAACAACAAATTCTACTTAATTAAATAGACTTGTTAATAAGTGTTTTCTCCTACAACATCAGAGTGCAGCGCAACATTAAATACGCACTACAATGACAATAGTTTAAAGCGATTTGAAGCAGGCTTTTTGTTGGGGGGGGCAGAGCTTTGTGACGTCATATTTGAGGGGGGGGGGTCTGACTTTGTGACGCCGTGTGACGATGGGGGGGGGTCAAAAATCGTCCAAAATCGCGTGACGTCCTTTATGGACGGCCCCTTTTTCCGTTGTATGTTTTCTCTTTGACTGTTGTTTTTGTTAGCATTTACGTGCATTTAGTTTGGGGTTGGACATCTGTGAAAATCGAGCCACATCGCTCATCAGGGGTCCTTCGAGCTTGAATCAAACGGCTGTGTCGTTAGTAATGCATTTTGGTCGGGCACACGCAACAACGGCACATGCAACGTTCCCTACTGTATCTTAATTTGAAACATGCACAAGCTCTCCACTTAAAGCTGGTGTAAGCGCCTCCACAAGAACCCCCCGAGTGGAGGGTCTCTCCTAGAGGGTATTTGGCCTACTCTTCCATGCTGGCCAAACGTCTTGGAAGATGGTGGGAGTGCCCCACATTTTACCCCACCATAGGTGACATTTTCCCATCAAATAGCTTATGTTGTACCCATTTGCACTGCTGAATGAACAGAGGCGTTTGGGTTTGGCCAGGGTGGTGAGACCGGGAAAGAGAAAGCATGGTTTGTCATCTCCAGGGTGTTTGTGCCAAGTGGTCTGATGGCGTGTGTCCTGTCACTGTGTTTGTGTCATCTTTTCACTGTGTGTCCGTCACGTCACCGTGTCAATTATGTCACTGTGTGTAAGCCACGTCACCGTGTCAGTTGTGTCACTGTGTGTAAGGCATGTCGGTGTGCGTGAGTCATGTCACTGCTTGTGCATGTCATGTGACTGCTTGTGTTAGTCATTTTTTACGTAAGCCATGTCATGTGACCTGTGTGTCATCATAGGTAGATCGGTGGCGCAATGGTTGGTGCGCTTTGAACCTGAATTCGATTCCTGGCCATGGTTGACATCTGCGCCGAATAATATCTGAATCAGACCCGGGCCTCCGCGAAGTCGACTCGCCCTTAAATATAGGGTCATGCACAAACCAGCTTATCTTATGCTGCTGCAGAGCTGTGGACAGCAGAGAACAGGGCACTAAACAAACGTCTGCACTCCCTCCCTGCCTGCACCCACCCGCATCGACCAGCTAGAGAATGGTACCAGGAGAGAAACCAAAATCTATTCTTGTACCGTCCTTCTTATACAGTGCTGCACCCAGATGTGAGTGCAGGCCCAAAGGCTGGAGGACAGATTATTATCACGCGAGGTCCAACTGATTGTTATCAACTTGTTGGAAATGCGTTATCGTCGTCGTCGTCTTGAGCTACCGCTCTAGGTTGTGGACTTACAAACATAAACTTTACGTGTGCCAGTGTGTGCCTCGGTGGGGAGCGGTGGTGCAGCGGTTAGGGCGCTGCGCTACGCACACCCAGCGACTCCGAGTTCCGTTCCCGCTCACGGCCACCAACTTCGGTGACGATTATCTGAACCGGTCCTGGGCCTCCCCTAGGTCATAATCAAATGGGTACCCGACTCAGAATCGAATGAGTACCTGGTGCAGTGTACCGGCCGTGGTGCTGGCATCCCACCCCCTCGAGTGCTGCGGCTCATTCATCGGTTGCTGCTCGCTAACAGCACTTGCACCAAAAGTCTGTTAAGGCTATCTGAGGGATCTTTGTCTTTTTGTGTATCTTTGGTTGGGAGTGTTCTGGCCGTAACATGTGCTCACTAACAGCGCTTACACCATCATTCCTGCTAAAAGGCTCTGACTTTTTGTCTTTGTACCCTTGTGTGTGTGGTCGATGGGGAGTGCGTGGGCATTTGCGTGCCCGTGTGCCCATCGAAAGTGTTGAAATTCAAGGTGCCTGGCACAAGCGCCCTGGTAACGTCGTCACTGCCACTTCCGTGGCGAATAGGGGCTGTCATGGTAGAGTGCGTGGGCATGTAAACTTGGGTGTTTATATAAATGTGTGTGTGTGTAACTTTGTGTGTAAGTGCGTGTGCGTGCCTTTGAATATAAAGTATTGTGTGTGGGCTTAAGTGGACGGGGATTGTGTGTAGAGAGCTCGTATATCTCTTGAGAGGTCTGGACGCGGTCCAATTATCAGTGGGCGGCGATGCTGCGGTGGCTGCGTTTTGAAGCCCCCATGCCCAGCTGCCTCATGCTGCCCATCTAAGCAGATTCTTGTTTTGCCGGATAGAGGGGGCGAAAAGGGGCAGAGCACAGGAGGATGTGGATCTCAGCGGACATTGCCAAAACTAGTGGTATACCAGCGGTGTCAAGATCGGCCTCTGTGGAAGGAGGCTCGTGAAGGACGCTACTGGGCAGTTGGAGGAAGTCGCCCTCCAATAAAAGTGCAGGGCAGAGAAGCGACGCTCACAACAACGAGCGGCATGCCGGGTGGCTAAAACGCAGCAAATTGGCACAGTAGGGGGCACAGCTGGTGCATCAGCCAGCCAGCCATCTCAGTCAGTCAACCGATGGCACCTGGGTCTGTCCCGTGATCTCCTGCCAGCGAGCCTTCAACACTTCACTTGGCCTCTGCACATAGCCTGCCACAACCGCCTTTGACATCACGGCCACTGTGTGGCGAATGGCGGCTGGAGTGTGTATATGTGGAGGGTGCATATGTATGTATCTAACTGGGAAT